TTTTGAGTTTCAAGTTTATAATTAGAGATGAAAGACAGTGGCTTTCTTACAGCTTTAAGTCTCATGAAAATTCTTGAGTGGTGTACCAGAACCATGGATGGTATCATTTTCATACTGTGCAGGACTGACCAAAGAGTGAGTATAAGATAACCATGTTTCCTCTTCCACAAATCCCTCATTGCAGATCTTAAATGGATCAAAGGCAGACCTTTCCTGGCTTTTTTGAAAARAAGTCCAATTCATGGACAGTCTGGTGCAAGCAGATTTAGGAGCTAAAAGTCAGCTCATGACATTGACAGTAACTGAGATTCAGACAGATTTCTCAYAGAARGATGTGCAGATTTACRGTTTTAATTTCAGGAAATAGTTCAGATAATTCTGARTCTGTGTTCTTTGAATCAGTTTCACTTCAGCACATCAGTGGTTAATTCAAATTTATCATCTACTGCAGTTACTTAGATTAAACAAGGTAAATATTTTCTTTTGAAAAGAATTGGAATTTCAGTGTTCAGCTAAATACATTCCATTAAAACAAGACAACACACATTTTAGAAAAGAATATGTTTTGACATGAATGGCCCGATGTTTTTTTGAGAAGAGAATAGAAAGGATAGAGACAGTTTTCTGTTTTGGCTGATAAAAGGACATTTTTTTTTGTCTGTTATAAATTGGTTTGGTTTCGTTGGCAGCAGTGGAGTTACACTGATTTACTTCCATTAGCAATATAAGTCCATGCATTCCTGTTTCCRGGTTTGTTAAACTGTCACTTTGTCATGTCTGTTTATTCGCAAGTCCAAATCCTTTGCAGTTCTATTCTGGGCATACGCAGAAGGGTGTGAAATGTCAGCCTGAGTGTTTTTCCACTTGATATTTTCCCAGATTCCTTTTGTGTCTCTGTAAAAATCTAAYGATTAACATCTCTTTTGCAAGGACCTCTGAATCTGCTACTCTAATAAGCTGGTCAGCTAATTACAGACTCGTGGAAGAATAATTAACACAAGCCTAAAGATTTTTATATGGTRACTGATGAACCTGGGTATCCAGTTCTGGATAACCATGATGTAAACTGGTGTTATAAACCCTAGGTGTGCATTTTTTTTTCCTGGAAGGAGAAAACCTGGTTAACAAAACACATTTAAAGATGATGCTTCGGAGCTCTCTATTACATGTGGYTAGTGTAGGATGATGAGCTGAGCCTCAYACACACGCATAGGCAAATAAAATGCAAAAAAGCATAAAGACTGAGYGAGAGTTCTGAGGTCGGTATCTTGTTCCTGGTGGCACATACTCTTGCTTTTGACTTCACCCTTGACTTCAACTAATTTTGACTTTCTTCGTTTTTATTTAGCTCAAAAGTGCCGGCAGTGACACAGTAGCACCTAATAAGGGATCGCTGGAGCTGCCCTGGTCTCCATCTGTGGCAGAGCAGCTCAGGACTGGTTTGATGATCTGCTGACTGCTGGTCAGAGCTATAGTTAAGGCTCCTGATTAGCCCTTATTGAAGTCAAGAGAGTAAATCTTTGGGGTGAAATAATAMAGCCAGGTGCTAACAAACATAGTGGTCATAATTTCAAATGAAACTTTTCACAGAATCACGCAGAACCACAGGAGGGTTGGGGCTGGAAGGAACCTCTAAAGATCATCTAGTTCAACCCCTGCTCCAGCAGGGACACCCAGAGCACGGGGCACAGGGCGGCATCCAGGCGGGTTTGGAGACCTCCAGAAAAGGAGCCTCCACAGCCTCCCTGGGCAGCCTGTGCCAGGGCTCTGKCACSCTCACAGGAAAGGTCTTCCTCACATGGAGATGGAACTGCCTGTGTTTTAATTTATACCCATTACTCCTTGTCCTGTTGCTGGCTGCCATCTTCTTTACGCTCTCCCCTCAGGTATTTGTACATGTTGATCAGGTCGCCTCTCAACCTTTTCTTCTCCAGGCCCAGCTTGCTTAAACAAGCTGAGCTTGCTTAGTTTTCCTTCTTGTTTTCTTATGCTTTTCCAAAGCTTGGCTGCAGAACATGGAGGCTGCCAAAGCGGACGTTTATTGGGCTTTCCACTCCAACTGCAGTGCGTGCGAGTGCCAGCTACCAMATCACCTTGCACCTAAGCCTGCTTGCTAGCTTAGGCCCAGATTTTTGGAAGGAATATAAAATCAGTTGAGCCAATCTAAATTTTGTACCTCTTCTAGTTAGATACACAAAGGACCAGAAAAAAAATATGAGAGAAGATTATCTTGCAGTTTTCCATCCTATATGGTTTTAAATACACAAAAGGTCTAAAAATTGTGGGCAGGAACTTCATTTCTTTGTAATGCAAGAATTATAAAACTACTGGTGGTTTAAGAACGAGATCACTATGTGTGATTTTACATGAATTTCTAATCCTTAGACTGATGATTAGAAGGACAAAAATGAAAAGCTTGCCAAGTCTTCATGGTTTAATTTAATTATGTCCCCAATTTCAAAGTAATTGGTAAAGGAAGGAGACTTGTAACCTTGCATGGGTTAAGAAACTTGCAGTGGGGAAAAGAACTTAGTCCTGTTATTACCCCATAATGGATAAATATGAATAATGATGAAATTAATAAAGAAGGAACCTATGCTGATCTTTCWCTAATCAGAAATTGAGTACTGAATTGGGTACTGTGTTACAAGGGAGTGTTTCTGATTTCTTCATTTTCGTTTATTTTTGCATTAACAAAATACTGAGKTTTTTTCTGTTGTTTTTATATGGTTTCATTTATTTAGGTTACTCAAATGTAGAATAATTTATATTAGTCTATTTGTTTATTTATATGCTAAGTCCTCTGAGCTTTAGGAGACACTTCAGACTGCTTCTCTGAAGGGCACTCTCTCCTGTGTTACACAGAGGGAATCAAGACAGAGTCTGAGGTTCAGAGGTCAAAGTGTATCCAGGTGTCTAACCCCATTGATTACAGCTGAATTACTTYGCTTTGAAGGACCAATATTTGTCAATCATCCAAGCCACAGAAATGCCTTTTTTTWAAATTATTTTCTTCCTCTAGAATATTTCTGCAGCTCTTTTAAAGCTTATAAGAATAATTTTCAAAAGTGTCTAAATGACTTAGGGGCAGAGTCCTGCTAACTGTAAAAACTAACTAGGAATTTCTGAACACAGAAAGGCTAATTTTAGGCTAATTCTGTTTCTAAGTTGATTATACATTAATTTTTAGTTCTTTAGCTAAAGAACTAAATGTGGGCAGCATGTAAATAAAAACAACTTGGTTTCATATAGATAAAAATCACCAAACCACGAACCAAAATTCTTGAGTTGGATATTAGCAGCAATCTATCTGACTTCGATTCACATCCAAATTTAGACTGTGAGCTTGAGGAGAGACCTAATAAATCAGTGATAGTTTCATGTCTGTTTGCTTGAGATCAGTGAGATTTGCCAGACTAGATGTGGAGTTGTTTCTTGGAGAAACATTTTCTCTATCAATTTCCCCTCCTGGTTGCAGGCTGATGAGTTCTGAAAACACTCTTCTGCAAGCCAGGGAGGAGGAAGGAGTCAAGTACGAACGGACCTTCGTTGCGTCGGAGTTCATYGACTGGCTCATCCAAGAAGGAGAGGCCACGACGAGGACGGAGGCGGAGCAGCTGGGCCGCAGGCTCCTGGAGCACGGCATCATCCAGCACGGTGAGGCGCTCACGCTTACGTAGCAAAAGCAGCAATTTGTGCAGTGTTTTCTTCAGGCAGCACCACGTGCATGGATCTGCTGGGTGTAGTATGTCCAAGGTGTACTCCACCTGAGATGCAAGTCTGGTTGACTCTCATTAGTAAAAGGGGGTTTTCCTCAAAAGCACTGTCTTCATTCTGAAAATTCTACCTCCAATGAAGAAAAAAATACAGTGTTTGGGATTGCTATGTAAGTATATGGATTACAATCAATGTTTTTACATACATAGTAAGTAATTAACTTGGAGAATGTGTTAGCAGCAGTGAATACAGCTGTGGTAAATAGTTTTTCAAGGCTCAAGTGGGATTTAGAGCTATAAATAAGCTCAATTCTCTGTGTAGAGTAAAATGGATGAGTTCTATATATTCTCCTCCTTCAGGACATAGTGTGATATCAGTAGAGAGCATTCCAGTTTCCGCTACATTGCACGGTTGTTCTCATACATCTGGGTAAAGAAATGGGGTATCACCTTCAACTAAAGCATTATTATATTTGTCCTGGCAGTTTAAAGTCTCTGGGGCAGGAATCTAACAATTGTTCGTGGTCCAGCACAATGTGCCTGGCAGATGCACCTTCCCCAAGGCACTCGCTCCATCAGGGTGGAGGAGACAATATTCTCACTGAGCGACCCCAAGTCTGAAGAAACGAGCACCCCTGCTTCTAAAGACCATTTTATTTCTGTCATCATTGATTTGCAGTGCAAGCTGCACTTCTTGGAGCACATATTTTCCAAATAAATGTGAAGTTGTGCCTGTGGGAGTGACAAGGAGGGTGCTAGGAGATGAAAGAGCAAAGCAGCAGGAGCTATTAGCCATGTTACTTAATGCACAACAGGAAAGCGGTCATGTACTAGTGATCTGAGCCTTGTCAAATCTACATGAATTATGACAGAGCACAAACAATTCACATTATTAAAAGCTATTAAATTGTATGGTGCTACATGGGCTCAGTCATCAGACTGCTGTTTGGTGAGAAAACTTAGTCTTAAGAAATAAACTGCAGAGAGAAACGGTGGGGACTCAAGTGACCGGCAGCTCCTTCATGGCTGTAATCATGCTTACATTATCTCTAGCTTCCAATTACTAGGAACAACATCTGAATGTTTACAGCAATCAGCTTCCAGTTCTATAATTACCCTCGTGCTTCCTATGATTTATAGGGTGCCAACTGCTCGGATCTTGATGGACAGGGAAGGTATTCCTCTCCTCCTCTTTATAGCAGCAGTGATTTCATTCCTATTTTTACCCGAGCATTTTCTGTATATATTATATGAGGTAAGCTTTCCTTAAATAAAAAAGGGTGAAAAAAAGAGGGAGGTTTACACTCCTATTAGAGTTTTGCAGTGGATTTAAAGTGAGGACTTGATATTTGGTGCAGGCTGGATTTTTGCTRCTGAAATGTTTACAGAGTTAGGCAGGTCAGTGAGTGACATGATTGCAGAGAAGCATTTTTCTCATTTGTTAAGGCACATGATGGGCTGTGCACAGACGCAAGGAGATAATTTTGCCCTCATCAAGCAGGGTTTGTGGTGGGATCCCTGGTGCAGTGCTGACCCCTCACACCCATGTGTTTAGGCCTGGTCTGTTCTACACAGTTTTATGCCTTGCCAGTCCTGCCAYGGAGATGTGATGCTCCTGAGGTGGCCACAGAAGGGACATTGGGAAGAGACTGGTTGCTTGAGGACTTCTCTCCCTGGGGATCCTCTCAGGCTTCTTGGGCAAGAGAAATTCAAAGGGAATTTCACATTGCCTTGATGGGGAAGCTGGAATCAAAATAATGTCCTTGAAATTTGCCTTTATCAGTGGCCATGCTTTGTGTAGACTTCAGAAGAGAGATTTCACCCTCCTGTGGCTTCCTTTGAAACATTTTATCCTGGTAGTGTTAGGAGTTATTACTCAACATCCCAGSTGAGGTAACACGGAGCTGCTGTGGCATTCACTTCTAGCAGGTGGATATTACCTGTACATTCTGTAGGATCATTGAACATGAGCTTCCTTGAATAGGGGAGCTAGAAGGGAGAGCTCCCAACACAGAAGTGTAGGTAGAAAATGAAAAATGCCAAGAGTGGCATTCTCTTTGTCGACATCTCATGGGCCAGTTGCCAAAATAAWAATGGTATTTTTCTCCCCCTTAGTACAGTAAATTTGTTTCATTTACTATGCCCCCTTCATGGTGTATGTCACAAGCAGTAGCAAAATGCTGCTTGACACTAATTGGCACCCTTGTTGGCAGAACCAGCAGAAGGACTCTCAGCTGAACAGGGGTAGAGAATAAAACATTTCCCTGCCCGAAAGGTGATCTTTTGCCCCTGGTGTTCTTTGATATACACAACATGGAATAAAATAAAGCTTGCCCTACTATTCTCACAAATTCTTACTTACGACTTTATCTAAGGCAMTAGAAAGCAATAGGAATCATTGTATCAAGTTGCCAATGTCAGTAATAATTTTTGGCCCTAACTGAATAGTGCAGTTTATTTTTGGTGATAACAACTCTCATTTCAATAACTGAGAAAAGTTATATTTTGCCTCTGAGGTACTGTATTTAAAGCAATTTCCTGTCACATTCATCTTCACTTTGATTGGTCAGACACAAAAGAGGTTTCACACAGGAAACATGCAGTGATGCTAATTTTAAAAAGGAAAACATTAGTCTAAGAGGAATTATACGAATGCTGCAAAACATCAAATGTTTCCATTCAAAAAACAATCTTCCTGATCTCTTTGAGCAAATATAAATTTACGGGTTCCCCTGCCATACATGAAAATGATGAAACATGATTAAGGTTTTGAATTGCTGCATCCCAAAATTGCACTGACACATGCAAATCATAATCCACAAGCCGCTGTTTTTACAAATAGAAGCCATATGTCCTTCTCTGTGGACCGATCCCCTTGGGTACTGCGGAGTCAAGAAATTCCAGGTAGCAGAGTAGCGTGCGCTGCTTGTGAAGGCTTGTGTTGGCACTGCAATTGCCTGTAGCTATTCTGCATTTGTCAACACTAATTCCCTTCCCCAGAATATGGGAGCAAAGACTATGTGAAGAAATTACAACCGTGAACACACAGATTCAGTAAGAGCAAGGGCAAAAGGAGCACAGTCTGTAACTGTATAAAAGCTCGTTTCTAGGAGGCTGAGGTACACAGAGCTCTGTAATATTTACACATCAGAATTACCTCGKGTACACTGGAACTTTCCCATTTCTTCTTCTTTTGGAAATAGTGGGCAGTTTAGCTCCTGTGGTCAAAATTTGCATGTAGCAAGAAAAGTAACAGGCAAGCACAGTTCCCTGCCGACACAGGAGTATCTCAGCCCAACGCAAGGGGTGGGCAGAGGAGGCTGAGGACTCTGTGAGCACCCACACACAGTCACAGCCCTTGCTTAGGCTGGAAGCAGAGGTCTTCAGATGTCCAAGGAGGAAGAAGAGCATCCATAGGGCATTGTGCATTATTCTGCATTATTTTTGTCATGTGCATTATTTTCTGGCTTATATTTGCTGGTTATGGCACCTGCTGCACTTCTAGCCTCAGCCTCTGACATGATGGACTAAGTCCTGACCTCCTCTGACATCTTGTTGCGTGTGGAAGCGGAGGGCGTGAAAAAACATGTGCCCATGTCACAAACAGGTTTAAGGTCTGGAATCTCAAGCAATAAATACTTTTCATTTTTAAGTCTGGTTAATACTGAGSTTGCCCCTCTTAGGATAGCACCTGCACTTTGCAAGGCGACCATTTGCACTYGCTCTGCGGCAGTGACTAAAACCAGCACATTCTGAAATCCTTTCTAATATTTCACAGGTTGTAAATACATAACGATCCCCTGCCCATGCAGCAAGGGTGCCATGAGCCTGTGCTGCTCTCCAGAGCTCGTCTGCAAGAAGCACGTGCCCGAGCAGCAGCACTCTGTGCCAAATCACGTTCTGTGTCTTCAGCCCTTCCTATTTTCCAGGAACTAACTGGAAACTAACAAACTAATTTTCCAAATAGTTTAATTGAGGTAATTGCACTTGGCTTCTTGAGTTTGAGATGGGAATGCATGTCCTGCTRGCTCATCCCAGAAGCTGGTGCTTAGCACCTTTCCAAGAGTTAACCTTTTATCAGCAAATTGCTTTCAGAGACAAAAGCAAACATTTCTTAGGGACTTAGTAAGAACAGTAAATATTGACCTGTGCTATCTCAATGTCTCTGCTAAGATGTCTTGAAATACATATTTAATTTTTACCTGTGTACAGCAAATTTTCCTTTAACAAAATGAGCACAGCATTCAGTTTTCRTTCCAAGATGCATGATGCAGTTGAAGGTTCACTCTATTTGTGTAAGTAGATGACATATGCTTACATAAGTAGATATAAAATATATCATTTCTCTTGCTTTTATTGAAAAACTTCCCTTCTGTCATCTAAAATTTCTGTAAATTATAACCTGTGTTGCTACATTTACTTTTCTTAGTTCTTACATTTCCTTTTCTTAGTTCTCGAGTGAAAAAATTGCTGTATCTGTGAAATATGCACTTCTTCTTTAAGTTCTCTTTTTGCAACCCCATTTTATTTTCTTGGAAATATCAACTGCAGCTCTCAATTTTGACATGCCATTGAACCATCCCATAAATCCCTGACTTAAATGGGTCCAAATCATAGATTTTCCCTTCCTAAGTTAGCACACACATTTTTTAAAGTTGTTCCAATACCTGACTCACACCATCTGTCCGATATTCCAAGTTCAGTGAAACTCCATGTTAAAAACTGTGACGCCTCATTCRCAGGTAATTCCTTGATTTTTCTCAGTAAAATGCAGACTTTTAGCTAGTCTTTAAATGTAAGCATCCCAGCTGCATGKCAACTCTGCTCTTCCTGTTTATTCCATGGCAGCTCTTCCCCAATGTTGCCAGACTTACAGGGACAGTAACCTCACCTACAGCGGCTCAGTCGTTTATAGTAAATTTGCAATACACTTTGTGTATT